TAAAAAGTACTATGTGGACACATCCCTAAGGTTGGCCTCAGGTATATGGGAGCAGAGTGCCGGAGCTATACCTGGCTTAACAGATTTATGTAAGAAGAAATAGAAAAGCCAAAATATAAAAGAAAGCATCTATAGGCCAAGGGGAAGGGAGACATACAGCTTCTTGCTACGATCTGGGTTTGATGGTCGGAGACCCCAGAGAACAGTTCTCGATTTAGATAAATAACTTCCCATTTCTGATTAGAAAATGAACACATTTATTACAGAAAATACATTTTAAAGGTAAAAAGAATAAAATGTATTACTTCACCATCAATCAATTCTAATGTTTGTGGGTTTCTTTCCAGTTTCTTAATGTATGGTTTACGTCTAATTAAAGTGAAACTAGGCTGTTTATACCGTGTGTTTTTTTCTTCCACTTTATATTATAGCAAAGGCATCTTCCCATGGCAGTAGTTGTGTGTGAGGCTTTCTTCAAGGTCCATTAGTAACTGTACGGCCTTGAGAGATGAAGGAAGAGTGTATATCAAAGATGTCTATGAAGAGCAAATGCAATGATAAAGCAAAATAAAAGCATCTGCTGTCCCCCCCAGCTGACAGCAGGAACGCGTTTTCTGTCCGGGGTCACTGGGCTTTATGGTCCTAAGCAAGATAAAGTGGCTGTTGAATAGATGAGTCAGATAGTGCTTCTCCTGCACGAGCCTCCCCTCCGGTGAACACCAGCCCGTTGAAAACGGGCTTCTGCTCCGAGGAGATAGACCAAGGGACACTTGCCCAGGAAGAAGTCCTCTTTATGGCCGGAGTCAGGGAAACACGCCTGTCACCTTGTTTGTGGAAACTGGGCCTTGTGCATATGGAGACCATTCACATCTTCTTGGCATCTCCCCTTTGACAAGGGACAAAAGTTAAAGGCCCAGATGGCTCAAACTGTGTTCCCAGGGGGTTCCTGCTGTTGTATCCTTCACTAGCCACAGGTTTCCAGAAGTGAGATGCGGGACAGGACTACTGTCCCCAGCAGGAATTTTTAAGGAGGTGCTGCTTTCTCAAGATACATTCCTTCCATCTGTTAGAAACTTGCAATGCACTGATTTTCTTACTGACCTTTGCTAAAAATTTTCATAATTGAAATACAAATAGGCAATATCCACAATGAGAACACTGTCCTCCCGACCCACTTCTGCCCGCTGTAGGGCTCTACGCAGCGCAGAGCTGGATGCAGCAGCTGTGTCGAGGCCAGGTGAGCATCCTGCACCAGCACTGGTTATAACCTGGGATTTCCATTGCTAATGCCCGCTGCCCTCCACCCCTGAGGAAGCTACTGCCTTCTATTTAGTCATTGAACAAATATTTGTTGAGCATATGAAATGAGCCAGACTCTGTGCTAGGCCCGGGGAAATCAAGGGAAAAGCGAGTATTTCATCTACTGGTGATGGATGGTGGTGGGTAAACAGAAATGCAATATCCCGGAGTCTACCCCTTACTTCACTGAGTTTGGGAGTGTTTTTACCAGGACTAGGGGTAGGGTGAGGTGAGGGAGGAAGCGAAGTGTAAGTGTAAGGTAGGATCCTGCCTTTACTTAAAATGTTGATATTCTGTTCATCATGGGCTATTTTGCATTAATTCTGATTCTTTAAAACATTGCATAAAAATGCAGTTTACCTTGATTACTGAGTTTTTTGGTGCCCCCATAAGTTTTGCTCCGAAGGTGAAGACCTCGCTGGCCTCACCCTAGTTCTGGCCTGGAACTCAAACCAATCCTTACTTAGTGGGCATTGAGCACCATGAGCTAACACTGAACAGGGTGTCTGAGCTATATCACTCTATTCTTTGGAATTGGGGCTGTAACTAGACTGGCCTTGCCACTAATTTGCTGTGTTACCCCAGGCAAGTGGCTTTTCTAAACTCAAATTCAGTGTTTCATCTGGGAAAATGCTAAGCTGGGAGAATCATCTTTTCTACAAGGACAAGAATGTCTTCCTGTGACAAACAGGTGTGGAGTACCTACTGTGCGCTGATACCATCACAGGCTCTAGAGCTACTGAAGTGAACAAGACAAGTTTGGGTGAGGGCACATTAATAAGTAAAAAGATCACTTCTCTGTATGCTTCACGAGATAGGAGAGAGTGTGTGAGAGAGATGCTGCAACAAACGGTCAGCAAAGTTCTCTCAAGGGAAGTGATATTTGAGCTGAAACATCCATGAGAAGTGGACCCGTGCCTCAGACCCGCAACCTTTTTATTTCCCTGACAGCTAATCTTTAATGAGCCCTTCCTTGGTGCCTGTTATAACATGTATAACAACTATACACGTCCCAAGTCATCTTCCTCAATGCTGTGAGATAAGGACTCTTGTTATATCTGTTTTTATTGACACCGACACAGAAGCGCAAAGGGGTCAATTAATTTGGTAAGATCACTAGCCAGTGAGCGGTGGGAAAAGGACCGGCTTTGAACTGGGGCTTCAAAGCCTGCGCCCAATCATCCAAAAGCTACTAACTGAGCACCTACTATATCCCAGGCGCTGTAGCCTTGGAGGCATGTTTCAGGCTCCTCCCCATCTGCGGGCGCCTGGGGATTCTGAACAGATGACATGCCTGGTGCAAACTGTTCAAACAGTCTCCCTGGGGGGACGGGGCTGCTCTGTATCTTGACTGAGGTGCTGGTGGCTCACAGGTCCATATGAATTTCTGAAAATAGGCAGAATTGTGCACGAAAAAGGGTACATTTTACTGGACGTGAATTATTCCTTAACTTAAAAATGCTGACCCCTCACCCCTCCAGGGGGC